CTATATATACACACAAATAAAAAAAAAATTAACATTTAATACATTACATTTTTTAATAACTGTTTCTTTTTCAACAAATGTAAAATTTTATATTTCATCTCAATAATAAAAAAATGCTCCTAAATCAACTCATTTGCACATCTTTTCAGTATCAGGTTTCTTCTAAATTTTTTGTGGTGCAGCATTATTTAGTCAAATCTGATTTTGTGTTTCTTTCTGGTCCTTCCCGCGGTCAACAGAACAGTCTGGAAAAAGGACAAAGTAAGCTGATTCTGATTGCTCCTCGTGCCTTTATTTGAAATGCAGATTGGCTTACAGAAAAAAAACTTATAGAGCCAAGCTTGAGTTTGACTTTGTAGATTAAACCTTTTTTATTTTTTAAATAAAGTCTTAAAATGTAAACAACTTATAAAAAGCATCACATAATAAAGAAGTAGTCTTTTAATAAGAATATGTCAATAACTGAATTTTGAAAAAAATGTCAGATAAAAAATATATATAATTCAAAGATGACGAATTGTCAATTATTTAGCAACTGACTTGATTTAACAATAAAAGATTAAAGACTTGTGCTTGATATGCATTGTACAATTCCAGATTGTTCCAAAAGAAGGACAATGGTGAAACAACTGTAGCCATTTGGTTGTAGCTCCTGAATGCTCCTTGCATTACATGGTGAGAAAGCTTTAAAAAAAGCTGTAATTACAGTTTTGCGACCAAAGACGCCAAAGCCTATAAAATGTTCTAGCCGTGTCAAATTACCGCCTTTTTTCTCTACTGTATGTCTACTGACTACCTAATGAAAAGCAACATGAATTGTCACGCTGCTGAATGTCACATGCTGCTAGAATGTAAATACCACAAAGCCAAATGAAGGTCTGTAACCAAGGCCTACCATAACCAGTCAATTCATTTAAATAGAAATTCGTCTCGCTCTATTAGTTTAGCACTAGCACGTGCCGATGATGACATTTGATTCCTTCCAGCTAACTTATGTTGAAGCCTAAAACTCAATGGGTGCCATTATCATAGTCCAGAGTGTGATTAGTAATGATCTTGTAAGATTAAGTAAATTAAAAAAGAAAATCTGATTTTCTGTACAAAAAGCTCATGATTACTTTAACAAATTTGCTCAATTATTTAGTGGCATAGAAATAGCCCAGATTCTGGAATCATTTAACGTAAGATCGGATCATTCTAAAGCAGTGATTTTTGTTTATTTACTCTCAGATTTTTAAACCTCGTCGTTGCACATAGATACATGAATATGACACAAACCTCAGGTAGGCATGACCCAATGACTTGCAGAACTCCTCCAGGGCTTCTGCCTTCGGGCCGCTCATGTTGGATCCATAACCAGGAAGGAACACAACACCAGGACTCTTTCCCTTCACTCTGCGGTACGCCAGCTTTGGAAGATCTGGCCGTGATATGTACTGTACTGTAGATTTTTGTCTAACTCCTGGAGATAAACATAACAGCATGTCAGCTGGGCTTTCCCCCTGCATTTTGTTTTAAACTTGTGGTATTATTCAAAAATCTGTAAGTTTTTCCTACACTCTCAAAAATAAAGGTACGAGAGCTGTCACTGGGTTGGTACCTTTTCAAAGGGTAGGCACTTGAAACTAAAGTGTCCTTCTTAATACCTTAAGGGTACATATTAGTACCTAAAAAGTGCAAATATGTACCATTTAATTTTTTTGGTACTAATATATACCTTTGAGGTACCGTTATGGACCTTTTAAGTACAATGGTGTACCGTTTGAAAAGGGACCACCCCAGTGACAGCAATCATACCTTTATTTTTGAGAGTGTAGAACTACAGTAAAAAAGTAACATTGTACAATACTAGATAGCTGTACTGACATGAACTATTTTTCGTCGTAAAATGCAACAACCTACGATAGCAAAACTAAAGCTGTAAAAATTAAAGCAAAAAAATTAACAGAACAATACTAAAAATGATCAGAAATCATGTTAATATGCTGATTTATGCAATAAATAAAACAGTTGTGACACTTAAAATTCTTGTGACAGAGTCTATATTTGTTTAGAACAGGGGTGCCCAAACTTTTTTTTTGTGGTAACGGGGCAAAAACCAAACTTGATTGAGAGCTGTGGGCCAAAAGTAAACATACCAAACTATATTACATTAAGTTTTCATGAGTGATTTCCTCATTTATTTGCTAAGTTTAAATTACATTAGCTAATGCAGAATATTTATAAAAAAATTATAATAAACTTATAACAGTAAAAACATTAACAACCAACACAATGGAGTGAAATGCTGAATACACTAAGCTGCACCTGCCTTTAACTTGATTTGCCCACCGATGTCTTGTGCATTGGCTGATATCGGTCTAGTGACAGTATTTACATTTTAAACAGTCAGATTAATTTACAAAACAAACAAATGCTACATATACAAAATTTTGAAATGACGATTTCTGTCAAAGATAATCATCCATTTTCCCTCTGTTCTCAAATGGGATGGTGAGCCAAATCAAATAGCAAAAGCCAACTTTGGACCGAAGGCCCTAGTTTCATTTCAACCACATTTTACATTTAATTTATTGTGTTTGAATAAAAGAAGTGCTCACTGAGGTACAGTTTGCAGAGGCGGACTTGACCAATAAGCAAGGCAAGCAGCTGCTTAGGGGCCCGAGTTTGACCAATGCCAAGCAGCTCATATTAACCATCCTATAGCTCTTATATCATTTGTAGTAAAATATGTCTATAACTCTTTAAGATTTTAGTGTTATAACTTCTTTTCTAAACCGTGGGCCCCCATGAATAGTGGTACGTTCCCTCTCTTACTGCACATGCAAATATTAAAATCTAATCACAAGTATGGCTACATGTGAGCTTGTTTTTTCTTTGCGAATTTACTGTATTTATTTTTACATTAAGAAGGTTTCACTTAAAATATATTTTTAACATGTAGTTCATTTACAAAGTAAAATCATTAATCTATAAAGAAAAAAATATCTGTAGAGAAAGAGAGTGTATTTTGAGAATGTTAGGGCCCCCAAATCACTAAGTCCACCCCTGGTTGTTTGTATATTCCCATATAATTGGACATTTTCCTTAATAATAAAATCTCAGAAAAGCCGTCTTTGACAATTCTAAATAGGGAAATCATATTAGCAGCCAACGATTGTTCACAGTCGATTAAATGATGTAATGTTGTTTTGAAGTCATCATAGTCATCATTTCAGCCTCAACATTCAAAGTAGCGTGGTAAACTATATAAATACCGTGTTACAAGTTGTCACTGCTCAAAAAAATAAACGAATGTGCTCATATAAAACCAACTTTAACGTTACCTCAATGTTGTGCTTTGGTTTCTTGGCTTTTTAACTTTAAACAGCAACATGTGTCGACTCAATTTTACTCTTAACTGAGTCGAAAACATTACATGACGTAAAAAGGACTTAAAACACGTGTAAACAATTATAGAAACTATCTTTTCCGCAATTATATCTACAGTTTTAAGCAAAACTGTGCAATGTTAATCAGTCCCCTCAGGCGTCTTCATGCCACACCCCCTTATTTTGGCTAGTTTTAATTAATGGTGGCTTCCTCAATAGTTGGCCACAAGTATACATGAACTGACCCTGAAAAGCCTTGAACCCGACAGTGCCAACAGCTCCATTGCCCGAGTTGTGTAAAAGTCCTCTCCAGCAATGCTTGAGCACCACCGCTGCCATGCTGTTTCACCACCCACCTCAGAAATAACGCGAGAGTACGCGGGGTTGCCAAGTTATGAAACGCTTATGAAATCCCCCATTGAGGGAGTTTTGTCATGTTGCCAAATACTTGCCATTTACTATTTTTAACCCTCATTTTCTTTGCGTAACACAGAGATAAGAGATAAGAGAAGACAAGACGTAGAAAGTTATTCTAAAAGAGTAATATTAAATTCTAAAGTATAATATAAGGATAATAATTTAGCAGCTACAAAACGCATCAGAAGGGTCTGGCTGAAAGATGTCAGTTAATCGGTTTTTAGTGATAAAATTGAGTTACAACCCTGTTTAAAAGAGATTCTGAAATTGTTATAATGGTTACCACTATTAATGACATTTTAAAACGTGTCCTGGATGCCTTATTTAATACCTTAATTAAATAAAGAAACCAGAATTCGCCCCCATTGGCTATATATTTGTAATCTAGAGTTTTGTTCAGGACCTTTTTTATTTGTCCAAGGAATGATTAGATTAATACTTTGCCACACAAGGTCTCTTGATGGGTTCTGCAAATGTCCCCTTCAGTGAAGAAAATTAATGAAATACAGTTTTATTAATAAAATAAATCCCGGAAAAAAAGAACAATTACAACAAAACAAAATCCTTCAACATTAAACATTACAATTTAATGAGGGGGTTATTTCTCATTTCATCAGTCAAAACTTTGAGTTTTTTTTAAGGTCACCATATTGCATTGTAGCTAAAATGTTATGAATTTCATTTTTCTTTTTAGGCCTGGAAATCAAAAACTTGAGGACACATTTATGTTTCTGAAGATTACTGAAGTACATTTATAAAAAAAACATTAATTTATTTCATTTCGGCTTAGTCCCTTTATTCATCAGGGGTCGCCACAGCTGAATGAACCACACACTTATCTAGAATATGTTTTACACAGTGAATGTCTTTCCAGCTGCCACCAAGTATTGGGAAACACCCATACACTCTTACATGCACATACATACACTACGGCCAATTTAGTTTATTCAATTCACCTGCACCGCATGTCTTTGGACAATGAGGAAAACCGGAGCACACAGAGGAAACTTATGCGAACACAGGGAGAATATGCAAACTCCACATAGAAATGCCAACTGACCAGTCAGGACTCGAACCAGCGACCTTCTTGCTGTGAGGCAACAGTGCTAACCACTGAGCCACCGTGTCGCCCCACATCTTTCAAGACAACAAGTTTTTATTTTTTTCTGTTGAAAATGTAAAGAGCTAAAGGAAAAAAGGAATTGAGCAATATAAAGAGTATTGTGTGTATTGGTCATTTTAGAACATCACAGTCTAGCATTGTGTTTCTCAACATTTTTACAATATCATAGAAATTGTTTCATACAAACCTTTACATTTCCAAACTTATGAAATACAAGACATAACTGCAGTAAGGGGGACATTTAGAAAATAAAAATTCAATTTTCATGTGTACACACACACACACACACACACACACACACACACACACACACACACACACACACACACACACTCCTGTAACTGGAGCTATCAATGTCTGCAAAACCGTATCAGGTATCTTCTGATCATATCAGCACAACCCATGCTCAGCTATGGTTCCTCATTGCCCCATCAAAGTGCCTCTTTCCATCCAGGTACAGCATTGACTCTGAGGATGATCAAATGATTTGAGTTACTGAAAACATTTTAAATAGAAATATAAAAATTAGTATTTTCAAAAAGGATATATTTGTATTGTCATATAGTATCTTTTAACCTCCATAGCTCTGTGGAACAACAGCTGGGACTTCCTTTTCAAGACGGAAAGTGAAGTGAAACACATTGGTGGTGCTGTGCTGTCTGGTTAAAGGATCGAGCACTTCTGAATGAACTCTGACCTGGACATACATTCCTTCAGTGTAGCAAACCTGATCAAGACATCATAAATCTATTAGGAAGAATAAAATTGAAATAGGCTGAAATTGCAAAGTGCACTACAACGATGCTGCACAATGTGGGAAAACATGTGATGTTTGAGACTGCTGTTGAGTATTGCAATAACAATATTTTTTTTCTTGCACTATTTTTTTGCCGGCAGCTAGCTCTCTGCAACTCTCACATGGTCGCCCACTGAAGCTAAGCAGGGCTGTGCCCGGTCAATACCTTGATAGGAGACCATATGGGAAAGCTAGGATGCTGCCGGAAGTGGTGTTAGTGTGGCCCCCTGCACTCTGTGTGGGTCCTAATGCCCCAGGATAGTGGACACTATATTGCTCAGTGAGCGGCATCTTTCGGATAAGACGTTAAACTGAGGTCCCGACAATCCCAGGATATCCTTCAAAAAGAGTATGGGTTTAACTCTCCACCAATCAGCTTCCCCGCAACAATGTGTAAAGCGCTTTGAGTGTCCAGAAAAGGGCTATATAAATTATTATTATTATTTGCGATATGAGAAACGTTCTTTTTGCTAATTTTTATTTGTACTTTTTACATAGATTTTTCTATTCAAATTACATCTAATTTAAGTTATAATTATGTAAATTTCAATAAAGCTTTTCAGGCGACGCAGTGGCGAGCACGTTCGCCTCACAGCAAGAAGGTCGCTGGGTCGCTGGTTCGATCCTCGGCTCAGTTGGCGTTTCTGTGTGGAGTTTGCATGTTCTCCCTGCATTCGCGTGGGTTTCCTCCGGGTGCTCCGGTTTCCCCCACAGTCCAAAGACATGCGGTACAGGTGAATTGGGTAGGCTAAATTGTCTGTAGTGTATGACTGTGTGTGGATGTGTGGATGTTTCCCAGAGATGGGTTGCAGCTGGAAGGGCATCCGCTGTGTAAAAACTTGCTGGATAAGTTGGCGGTTCATTCTGCTGTGGCGACCCCGGATTAATAAAGGGACTAAGCCGACAAGAAAAGAATAGGAATAAGTTATTGTTTATCAAGAAAATGATGTGTCTGCCACCTTTCACCTATTAATTCAGTTTATTTCCTCAACAATGGATTTATTTTTAGTTTGATGCTGCTATGAATATGAATGTATATTATTTGTTATGTGAATGTTCCAGCATGAGTAAAACTCTTTCATCTCGGCAAGTATTTCATCTATAAATGCAATAAGTTTCATCAATTACAGATCCATTAATGGTTTTCTCAGTTTCTTCATTTAAATGAATTAAAAGCTTTAGACAGTGTCCTGCTGCCATACATTTTACCCTAATTAATAATAAGTTACAAATAATTGGATAATGTAATAACACTGCATTATAATCCTGTTGTTAAAAAACAGCCGTAGTCATCATCTAACCGTATCTGTAGTAAATACAGCTGACTGAGGAGTTCTGTGTATTCGGAAGTAAAGAGACACTGTTTGGAGTGAAACCAGACATCGCGTGATGCCATGTGAAAAGGGTCTATTTACACAATATTTAACTGTGATACAAACTGATTTTTACTGTAGGAGAGTTATGCAGTACTTTACTGTGTTTTAAAGTTCATGGTTTCCGCTACATTCATTCTCCCATGGCGCCACGCCGAAATTTATCCCTCCATGGCTATATTATAGCTTCTCATTTAAAATTTAGTTTTTTTAAATAGCAGGTAATAATCGCACCAAAACGTATTAAAGAGTAAGTGAATTATAACAGCGCAAACATTTCTGTAACTGTAGTAGTGCTGTGCGTCATTTGTTTAACCCTTTAAGGTTACGTGCTGACTGACTGGCTGACTGACTGACAGGTGCATGATGCGTGAGGCCAGTAAACACGACGCATAGCCGTTTCACTTTACTTCAGGACGCATTAATATCGCTCTGTAGGTTTATTAGGGAAACATTCATAAATATTAATAGCAAATCTAATAAATTCTGGAGACATACTCATTACATAATCGCACCAAATCGCACTTCAGCAGCATTTATTTGAGAGCGCACAAGATCTGCGCGCTCTTGAAGCGGCTTATATTTGAGGGGGCATGCAAAAAGTTTTGTGCACGAGCAGAGGAAATCGGCGCACAAGCAAAGAGATACCTTATAAATGCGATCTCGACTTCTAATACTGCGCTCACGACATTTGTCATTGAAATAACACCACAGGTATGTCTGTGAAAAAAAAGCCTGCTGCCACAGCTGGAAAAAATCCTAGAGGAAACACTGAAGTTGCATTGTGAACTGTATATTTTAAAGTAAAGAGATACAAAACTGTATACAGCAAGATAAATAGTTCTGTAAATGTAAATACAGTATTTTTCCTGTAATTGATTTACAGTAAGTTACTGTAGATTCTACGGGAAATTGTTGTAATGGTTTCCACAACAAATAACCTTTTAAAATGTAAAAGCCGAACATTTTAACATTATCTGGAGTGTTTCGTGACATTCTGTGTTGTGTTTTTAGTACATGACACAACAAGTAGTATAAATACAACTCTTGTTACCATAAAAACATTACAATTTAATGAGGGGGTTATTTCTTTTTCATAAATGAATACTGTTTTACTCTAAGGATTTTGTAAAGATTACCTGCAAACTAATTTGAAGACAATGAGTTACTGTAGATTCTAAAAGAAATTGTTACCCGTGTTTGATTTTCAGCACTATGCACTAGGTTCAGCTTCGGGCTAGGTCTAGTCAATGGCGCCTACACGGGAGGGGGATATATAAATAGTAAGGCCAAATCTGATTGGCATAAGCAAATTTGTGCATTCAACTCACAAGTGAATGGCACATAAAATAAATGTAATTAATCACACCACTTTGCGATAGGGATATTGCATACTATCATCGCAATGACAACAGGTTTTCGATATATTGCAGCTCTGGTACTAACCTGAGAAGACAGCAAGAGCAAAGAACCAATTTCTACTGGCTTCCGAAATAAAATATCATCAACTGCCACAACAGTTGGTCTACATCCACTGAAAGACACAAATATGGTCATGAGAGGAAAGAACAGCATTGTTTAAAAGAACATTTTTTAATGATTAATTTTCCTCTTACGCAAATGCACAGGCATTAGCTCGACCAAGCTCATAAGCCTTTCTCATCAGAAAACCACCAAATATCCGATTGAAGATATTTCTTTCCTGTACAAAGCCCAAAATACATTAAGATATATAAAAATAAAATATTTATTTAATAAAATGATTGAACTTCTTTTCCTCTTACCTGTGGATGGCAAATCTCAAGCCCTTTCAATTTGGCATCTTCCATCCACACTGAATTTGGAGGTAAAATCCGACTGCGAAAGCTGACAGTCCTATCAGGTAAAAATAACTATTCTTTAAAAATGGTTTTTAAAAGGTGCAGGTATTTCTATCTGTGTAATGCTCATAAATGGACCGTGTGTCAAGAGTGTTGAGGAACTGGTTGTGAATGAGTGTCCTCTCCTCTGCTGTAGGAGCCACTTTCAGAAGAGACGCCGTGCTCAGCTCCACACGCCTCTTCTTGTTTACTGACCAATGTAAATTTCATAATTAATAATAAAGCAATACAAACACAGACTTTTATTTTTTAATGTATTTTTTAATATAATTTTCATTCATCTATTCATTTTCTTTTTGGCTTAGTCCCTTTATTAATCCGGGGTCACCACAGCGGAATGAACCGCCAACTTATCCAGCACATGTTTTACGCAGCGGATGCCCTTCCAGCTGCAACCCATCCCTGGGAAATATAATTTTCATTTAAAACAAAAACTATCAGTGTGCGAACATCTAAGAAAAGATTGAAGGCAGGTGCTTGATCAAGCCAAATACAATAGAAAAGGTCAAAATGGCACACTGCCACTTTAGCTCTAAAAACACAATTGAATTGGACAACAGTTTGACCAACAAGGCCTTCATCTGGTGACCTGATGAAGACCTTGTTGATCAAACTGTTGTCCAATTCAATTGTCTTTTAAGAACCAAAGTGGCAGTGTGCCGATTCTTTTTACTTTTCCTATAATTTGCATTTACAAATATTTTGAATGGAATAGTTAATAAAAAATGACAATTTACAGTTAGAATATTCACACTCATGCTATTGAAAATATAGGTCACTTTTTTCTTCAGTAGAACATTTCTATTAACTGTATCCATGTTACTTTGTCATTAGTATATCATATATGTACAGTATATCAGTTCTTGGCTTCCAGTTGCTTGATAATATATGTGTGAGTTCTCAGACTCGAGTCATGCTTGCAAAATTTGTAGCAGTTGCCACATCTTGGACAATCACAGGTAAGAACCAAAAAATCACTACACTTGTGCACGTAGTAAAAAATGTTTGCTGTGGATTAAAGCTAATAAAATTGTAAATGATGTTCAATTTCTTACACAGACTGATCATTTAGCTTAATACGACCTCAGTGTATCATCAGTGTAACCCTCAGCAATGTCATCTCTTTTCTTTGTTAATGAAGAGTTCACTTTACTAATGTGAAGGTGAGACAACATATACTTGGATAAATGTCATCATATGAACAGTTTAAAAACTTCAAATTCATAGACTTCAATAAACAAAACTCACTTTCACCCTGAAGAAAAATCGCCTCTTCTTCTTGACCCACCGGTTTGAGTGGGTTTACGAAAGCTGCCCTGACAAAAAAAAAATTGGAATTAATTCATATTACAGTATATCAATTAGATCACATCAGTGAGCTGTGATACCTTTTGTTTTCAGGATCTCGAGCCACCATTACAAAAGTAGCATCTAATAAGTCTGCATATGTGCCATTTTGGTACTGGAAAACAATTTTTTTTGTTTAATGATACTCTGAAGAGAACAAATAAAATATGCACTACTAAAAAAATGGAAAAGAAATTACCTGAGACATGTGCATTTTAGCTTCGATTGAGGTCTTTCCAACCCATGTCACATGACCAGTGAACTTGATGTCACAGTCTGGGTAGATGACATTTTGTCTCATGTCTGAGATACAATAACGATAGCATATGAATCAATAATTAATAAAGAGAAAATATATAATAATACATATATTATTATCGATGCAAAACATTGAGATGGAATACCGATCTTGTCCACTAGGGCGGTGACAATAGACAGCGGAGAACTTTGCAGCTCCTCGTTCCAGGTGTGAGAGTAACAGATGAGCACTAAAGAGACCAACATGAGATGGTGTGTGATGCTCTGTGTGAATGTGGCTAAAATAAACCGCTGTGAGGTGAAATCACATTATAAACTTTGGTTTGAAGCAAAATCTGTAAAATAAGTATACACTAACAGTGCTTAATGGCTTTACTAAAGCAAATGTTTACAATCCCATGATTGTATTATTAAATATATTAAATATGTTTAATATATGTTGGTATAAGAATGAAGGGAGATGAACTTGATGTCATTTGCAGTGCTTAATGATAGTGGGCGGAGCTTAAGACCTCTTTTTGACCTGCTTGCTGCTACTCTCTGATTGGCTGTTTTTTTTTGTTATAATGTAGTTTTCCTGAATAGATTTTGCTAAACACAAATGCTTTGTTAAAAATGTAATCGATGTGAACAGCTGGCATATAAAGTTGGTTAAAGCGAGATAGTTCATTCAAAAAAAATTCAAAGTCCTTTTAAATTACTTTCTTCTGTTGAACACAAAACAAAATATTGTGTTAAATGTTGAAAAAAATCATCTGTTGACCAGACAAAAATACTATGCAACACAAAGGCTGTTTTTCCAAACATTCTTGGGTATATCTTCCTTTGTTTTCATCTAAAATAAGAAAGTCAAATGGGTTTGGAACCAGTGGAGGATGAGTAGATAATGGCAGATTGTTCATTTTTGGGCGAACTAAAGGCTTTATTTTAATGATCTTGGTGCAAAGTCCAAAGCGCACAGCGCAAAAGCATTAAGGGCGTGTCCGAATCCACTTTTGCTATTTTAAGGACAGAAAAATCTGCTTTGCGCCGTGGTGCATAGTCTAACAGGGTTGAGCTTATTTTCTTAATGAGTTATGGGTGTGTTTTGAGAAAAAAACAATCAGAGTCTCATCTCACATTCCCTTTAAGAGTCAGTTGCGTCACGCCATAGCGCATTTGTTATTTACATAATGGACTTTGTAAGTGGAAAAACTGAGCGCTTCACAAGAGAGAAAACAGTTAAACAGAGCATCTGCAGCGGAGCAGATGAGCCTCCTCATTCTTTACTTTCACTTCCACCTTCTTCCATGGATAAGTAAATGTGTTGTATGCACAGACATCCATAAGCCAACATAATTAATATTATTTGTTAAGCGCAAAGATTTGTTTCAAAACTTTTTTAAATTCAGTTCTAATTTCCATCAAACGAATAAATCAACAATAATAACGAAGTGTAACGAAGTTATATCCAAATACACATGCTATGCCCCATAAGGTCCAAAACCTGAAAAGTGGACAAATCTAAGCTTGTTTTTAATAAAACAAATATAAATATGCATATAATAAATAATACTGCTAATAATAATAACATTATACAAAAGCAAATTGTCATGAATAAACTACAAAAGCCCTCTGAGATGAAGAAGGCATGGAGGTAGTGTTTTTTTTATGTAGAAAATCATTACAAAATCATTTTGTAATATTTTAATCCTGTATTTTTTTATTTGTGAAGATATTTGTGTATTGCTGTGCATCCTGTTTGTATTAAGCAATGTGTAAGCGAGGCGCACAACTAATGCTCTCTGCGCTGGACTTTAAACCTCCTCTCAGTTGGTCTATTGAGCAGTCTATTTTAGATCCTCAAAATAGCAACGCGCCAGCAATGCGCCCTAACACACCTTCTTTTTTAGACTGTAAAAAGTGAATCAAAGAAATGGGCGCACATATGAGTGCAAATGCATTTGCTATTTAAACAGCGTGCTGCAAAACGTCAAAACGTCACTTGTGTCAAGCTGAAACTAGAAAAATACATTTGCATCATGCCTTGCGCTGTATAGCGACGGGTGTATGATAGGGCCCATTGTCTTTAACAACCTCAGAGCTCACAACAGGTTTGTTTTTAAAAAAGTGTATCAGTTATTGTTAGGGCTGCACAATATATTGTTTCAGCACCGTATCGCAATGTGTGCCTTTGCAAGTCACATCGCAGCATCTGCAATGTGGGGTTGGGATTAATATTGTTGATCAGCAATGAAGAATGTACATTGTTAACATTTTACATTACATTTGATTATTCAATCAAAGGACAAAATAGAGATATGCATAAGGTGGCGTTTGTTGTAATAGCGGATTAAACATATGTCAATGTTGTAATTTTAAGAAAGATATGTGCAGCAAAATAAAATATCGCAATATCAGATTTTTCCAATATCGGGCAGCCCTAGTTATTGTTGAAAATGTACTTCCTTGTGGAAAAAGCTGACAGAGCATTTACTTCTGGAGCAAAATACATTATTGCAGAAAACATCTGTAGTACCTCCTAAGCAGTCCAAGTCCTCTAAAATCCGTCCAAACCTTTGAAGAAAACAAATTTTGGAACAACAAAAGATCATAAATGTCACTGTTTTTGTATATATAAGGAACCAGCAACTAATAACCATGCTGTATGAGCATAATAATGTTTTTTTAGTACCTGACGCTGTTGTGAGAGTTGAGATATTTCTCTCTCAAAGCAGGCTGGGAACCCAGAGGAAGATGCGCCTCAATTAAACTGTCCTTCATTCTTTTTGCTGGAAGGTCATCTTGACTGCGAGCGAGATACTGGCATAGTGATGAACGTTCAGACAACACTTGCTGCTGATCTCTGTAAGTTATGGAGAAAGTTTAACCGATAAGACAATAAGTGTTTTGCTTATTTTGATAATGTGATAATTGTAAAAATGTTATATCAGTGACATACTGCCAGTTGGTAGATGCACCGACTACCTCCCTCAATCTGTTGCGAACTGTGAAAATCCAAAAATTTCAAATATATTTAATTAAGAGCCACTGGTAAACATTTACAACATTGTATAAGAAATGCACAATGTTAATGGGGCTATATTTGTTAATCTCACAATCTCAGCAATCTTCTTAAATTATATTAAAGGTGATGCTGTCATAATAATCTGAATTTAATCTATATTAAAGACTACATAATAGGGATGTGACAAGATTTCATATGACGAGATATCACAAGGTTAAATCGCACTGAGATTTTTCATCGAGGTGAAAAGCTGTCTCATGAGTTGTGATGTTGTAACGGAGCGTGAGGGTGAATTTAAACCTGAAGATTAAACCGTTTTTGTTTTACCGGAGTTCAGCTGCTGCCGCGTCCAACAGAGGCTACAACTGCAGCCACACACACATTACCCATGTTTTATATCCATGCGACAGAAAAGCACTTCATATGCTTAAAGTCATAATCGTCGTAAACAACTGGATTTAAGAAGTGGAGTATTCATACTTCAGTCGTAATCAAACTATTACCACTGTGTAGGTCTTTTTAGACAGGATAAGACATACACACACGACTGTTTGACACTATTGAAACACTATTTAAAAGACCACAGACACATCTCTAAACTTGCACTCACACACACACAGTGAACTTCTGGAGATTCGAGATACACACCTTCATCATCACCAAACACAAGTTTATACTGTTGATGTGCGATATCAAATTACATTAAAACAACTCTCTCCTATCAGTCCATATTTGCATTCAGTAGCTCAGAGTTTGTGACGGGGGCATGAATGAAATCTTGCTGAATGAAATAAAAAATGCTAAAAAATTAAAAGGGAAATACCAAAAATCACATGAATTTGAAGATTTTAGGAGTTTGATTTCTTGTGTGAAATTGTACTGGGGAGAAGAACGCTCTTAATGACGCTCTAAACTGGGTGAGGTGACAACTTCTTTAGAGAAGAGCCCCATCATTTATTTGTGCAAATTATATTGTTTTACACAAACATGCATTTAAAATAAAATCTAATAATAGATTTGGTAAAAACATGCACTTGCTTTCCATATTAATTGAAATATATGGCACATAAAGGGCCTATGTTTGCTTTACAAATATTATTGAGAATGACATATCATATTCTAAAACATGAAATCACTTACAAAAGCTAACATGTATTCTAATAGCATATATACAACATATAAATAAATAAATAAATAAATAAATAAATAAATAAAGAAGCGATTTATCAAAAAATGACATTTAATATTTATTATGTATTAAAACGAAAAAAGCATACTTTAATAATATTAATAATTATGATGATGATGATTATTATTATTATTATTATTATTAAGTAGGATATTGTTTGTTTATCCATTTATTTATTTTTTAAAGTCTACTTTTATAATTTGACACTTGTAAACCACAGCAGAAGGTTCTAACCAGCAGGCCCATGTCATACACAGTACAGATACTCAATAAATACCCTACTATAAGTGAAAAGAATTAATATCTGCTTTTTGTTTTCACAAGCTTTGGAGACGTAACATAAATTCTGCTTTTAAGTAATAGGTCACCTATAGCTTTCGCCATGAGGCTGTTTTCAAAATGACATCAATGTTTTCAAAGTGCACTGCGAAGGGAGCACAATTGTAAACATGAAGATCGCTAAAATTGAACTGTAAAAATAGTGAGAAAGCAAATTACACCTAAGAGAGATGACCTTTATGCTTTTTCAGTTTTCATAAATCCAACTTTGAATGTTAGAGTGTTCTAAATTAATAGGGCATAGGAGGGATAAGTGGGAACAGAACACAGCCAGGAACTATGTTTCGAACTACAGCTCCAGAGGTGTAGTTGCGAGTGCTCAAGTTTGTGACGCAGTTTGCGAATGTTCGTTGGATCGACGGATTTGGAAAACGCTAAATCAGCAAACTGTTTGTAACGACGGAACTTCCGACCTTAGTTGGCTAACGATGGTTTTGGGAAAAGCACCCCTGTTTACCACACAAAAGTCTTACATTACTGTCCCTTTAAGGATTACACAACAAGTTAAATTTAAGCTCAATTGTGTACTAACCGCATTCTGTTTTTTTTAGTCAAAACAGCTCTTAAGAAAATAAAGCTAAAGGGAAAAATGCAGTTAATGGACACGCATGGAACAAAACAGGAAGACAAAGAAGACAGGAATCAAAACATGGCTACTCCAACAGGCTGCTAATTAGAGGCAAGGTATAAGGTCAGGAACGACAAAGGCATTTCAAAAATGAAAAACATCAAGGAACTATGCGAGTATACGGTCATAAAAAATGAACAGAAAATGCAGATAAAAGAGAGAGAGATTTCTGACTTAACAGTAACACATTTAAACGGCAAAGCAAGGAAAATATGAAATAATATGAAGGGAACCTTTTTATGTTCCCTAAATGTAAGTTTACAGTAAGCACACAATGAGTTGTATTAGCAACACTTCAATGTTTGAAAATACAACATCATAACCGACTCATTACACACAAATACAGGTTTAGGTTTAATTACATACATTACAACATAAAACACTTCATAGTAGCTTCTGATCACACTGCAAAAAAAATTTCTTTTGTTTGTTTTTTCATTGTAAATGTTTAATGAAATGTAATTTATTTACTATAAGAAGTCTTGTTGTCAGTGAAACTGATCAAAATAAGACTAACTATCTGCCAACAGACTACAGAATTTAATAGACAATGAAAGTAAGTTTTCACATTTCAATTAAAGAAATCTGCTCTTCAATCATTAAACTTGCTTAATTTGTTCAATATGGCAGAAAATAAGATAATTATTAAGTTGGAATCTTAAGTTAATGCATCTTGATTTAAAAAAAAAAAAAACACTGAGGAACATGTTTAAAGATTTGCTAAAATATAAGAATGTCACGTGTACGTAAGTATGCATGTATGTATGTATGTATGTATGTATGTATGTATTTATGTGTGTAAGTGTTAGTTAGTTAACTTCATTTGCAACATATATCATATATATATATATATATATATATATATATATATATATATATATATATATATATATATATATATATATATATATATATATATATATAATTTAAAACAGGGTATCCCTGCTCTAAATAAAAAAACAGTCTAGCCATCAACTGCAACTAATAAAGAGGAATTCAAAAAACTTAATTGAGTGGGGAATAAATTATTATTTTTTTCTTATTTCTTACGCATCTGGGAACAATTGGAAGGTGTTTGATAAAGGATGTTAGTCATCATTGATAATCATGATAGCCTTTCTTTGTATATACTCTCAATAATCTTTAGTTTTATTCAAAACAACTTACTGGCTGTTGTTACCACCCTCCCCAGTGACCTCTTCTGGACCCAAGAAGCATTTCCATACCAACAGATCACACAAAATGTTGCAATACCTTCAATAAAAGCACTATAAAACATGATCAACAATGTGTTGTCAACATTAAAACACAATAGTTTCTTTAAGAAGTACATTCTCTGTTGAAGCTTTTTCCTTATACAATCAGTCCATACATCCCACTTAAGTTTATTGTCCAACATCACACCCAAATATGTATAATTAGTTAATAACTGAATTTGCTCCCCATTAATTAATGTGGGATCAGTTTTGCTCTGTGTTCTCTCTCTATAATCAATAACCATCTCCTTAGATTTAGAAGTGTCTAGGAGAGGGTTGAATTTTAAAAAAAAAAGTCAAGAACAGGGCTGTGTTCCTCTTTTTCATTAAAAAGGTTCACCAAAGCGGTATAAAACACAGCCCTGAGAAGCTCCAACTGAAGTACACATTTTATCTGAAACAAACCTCCTATTTTAACCTGTTAGATTCTAGAGCTAGAAAATCGGTGACTTAGACAATCATTTTGTTGTCTAATAAAAATTATTTTGCAGCTAATAAGCTAAAAGAAATAGAATTAAAAGCAGAAGACAGATACAGAAAACTGATTGTTGCATGAGTTTTGTAGCACTTAAAAATAATGTAAGTGCTATTGTACAAAAATCATTTAATCCTGGGGGCTTAGGAACTTTTGGTACTGGAATTATTATAGATGTTTTCAATAAAGCAGGACTAATACTGGAGTGATAAGACACTTGTGTGTGTGTGTGTGTGTGTGTATGTGTGTGTGTGTGTGTGTGTGTGTAATTTTTTTTTTACCTCCAATAAATTGGATGAAGTGATGTTTAGTTGTATTATTTGATTTATACTTTCAAAAGTTCCTTCCTTTTGGATAAAATTACAGAAATATTGTTTTAACAATAAATTTCGAAAGATGCAAGTGATCAGGTTGATAATGTCAACTTACACCCCCAACCCTTCACAGAGGAATGTCTAACTTTAGTTCATTATGTCCATCCTGTTAGGCATCCTGTTCATTTTCTTGCCATTGTGTATAAAAAGGTAAGCGCCCGAGCCTGACCCGCATATAGGGTTATTTCTACTGTACTTTTATGAAACATAATCACTATTGCATAACAGGAATGATTAGCGTATTCCTGTATTTACCTTCAGCCATATCAAGAGTCTTTCCTTGTCGAGATATTTGACCCATGGAAAACTTCCTGCACGTGAAGGACACAGCAGCCTTCAGGAACCTGTGCGAAATGAGGGAGCTGATATGAGGGAGCCGTTCATTAGCAAATAAATAAACATTTAGCAAACCGGTTGAACTAGTAGCCTTACAGATTAAAACAAAATCGGAAAATGTCTATTTAACACTCACCGTGGACAAAACATCTTTTTATTCTTCCCTTGCCGCTTGGAGAACTGCAGAAACTTTCTTCAAACCAACAGCTTGCAGTTATTAGTTGTGTTTTCAGTTTCCGATCATCCGCGCACCGTGTAAACTACTATAAACGCGCTTTTAACCGTAATAAACGAACCTTTAGATATCGTTAGAATGTTTCCAACGCAATAAATGATCGATGGAGAAAATACTTAAACTTGGGACGGCATGTTGTTACATTGTAGTTTAAGCCATTTAGGTAAATTTAGCAGCAAAAAAAATCTATTAACATTTACTCACAGTCTCAACGTGACCAAATATAACAGTGTGATGACGTACATGTCTATTTATTACACTGCAGTTTCACGAGTGTGTCACTCGGTGGCGCAACAGAGCTTAACAATGAAAAAGATAAACGTAATCATAAGTCCAAGCCATTCGAAAAGTAAGTGTTTTACATTTTTTCATTTACTTTTAGAGTGCCCTGGACTTATGGTTTCGTTGTTTATCTATATAAAGCGCCCTTATCCAAAGAGCACTGACACATTAACTACCCCTGAAGCAATGGACGAAACCTGCAAAAACAATAAATAAATACGCAAATAAATATTAAATAAAAGACAGGCCCGTAGCCAGCCTGCTGAAAGAGGTGGTTCTTTTTTTTCTCAAAAAGTGGACCTTTTGCAGTCATACGCCTCAGTTTCTAGTTAACTATGAGATTTAAATACTGCATTTTAGTGTTTTTTTATTTTATTTTATTGTTTATTTTTGCTGGATTAGTTAGTCAGATGCCATCATAACCACACTTTTTGATGTACTAAAATATTTCCTAAAAAATTGCAATAAAAAATTTAAACAAGACTAATAAAAAAAATATGACATCATATATCATTAGGAGAAAATAGCAATCTGTTAAAGTTTTACAGTAAAAAAAACTGTAGACCACTATCATTTATTAAACAAAAAAACAAACTGGCCAGCACATGCAACTGTCCTTAGTCACAATTTGGCCATTTCAATAAAAAATATAATAATTAAAACATAATAATAATAATAATAAAACAATAATAATGAATTCTTCAGAATTGTTCTATTCTTTTTGGTAAAAAACAGTACATTTGAAAATTCCTGGATATCAACAACAGCCAAAATATATTCAAATTAATTTTACATGGTCAGCTCGGATCGGATTTCTGATAAGAATAAAACTAAGTGAGCAAACAGCCTTATAAACACAGATGTGATGGGAATATATATTGAATATAAATATATTATCATTTTTGTATAATACATATATTATAGAATATTAAATTACATAAAATAATTAAAAGGACAAATGCTGGACAACATGGACAGTCACATGCTATTGGGTTATTTGACCGCTAGATGGCGATCTTGGATATTAGGAAAGCTTACCACCACTAGAAGTCAGAGCAGTGTGTCCTCATAGATATATACATTAGATGTCGCCTGGCCTATTGTTGTCTATTGGACGGAATGCGTCAATAGCGCCGCCATCTTGGTACAGTGTAGCGCTCCTTTGAAATGAATGCGGTAGGGAGCACTGTACCAATGTGGCGGCGCTATTGACGCATGCTTAAGCAGGTCGCACACCAGAAGCGCCGCTCGGCGCCGCGCCACGGCGCGTACATGACAGTTTAAGGTATCACGCCCTATTCACACGGGGCTTCAGCGTCAACGCTTGACAGAGGGCGTGTCTGAAGTTGGAGCTGAAACGATCGTCATAGAAGCGCCAGCCAATGAAATTCAGTCAGCAATAGGCCACTGTCTGAGCTGGTGTATTTGCATACAGCGATCTGATTGGCTGACGCTTCCGTCGGCGCTTGAAAAGTTGAGCTGGTCCCAACTTCTGCAGCGAGGAATGCTTCTGAAGCGCCGCCGACGGATCCACAATGCAGTTCGGCAACGCCTGACGTCACCCATTCAAAGTGAATGGGAAACGTTGACGCTGACGCCCCGTGTGAATAGGGCGTCACACACCAGACGCGCACATTCGAATGATATTTAACATGAAACTAATCAGATGGCGCTCTGTGGCGCGGCTGAAAAATGAACTGCGTCCTGAGCCGTCGCCGGGCGCCGCCGACAGCCGCCGACTTGCGGCGCCGGTGTGTGTATCCTGATAGAAACCTATGTTTAGAATTCTAAAATACGTGGCGCTGCGCGGCGCGCCGCCGAGCGCCGCTTCTGGTGTGCGACCTGCTTCAGGGTCCCTATGCGATATCTAGTGTAACGTTATATATCTATGGTGTGTCCTAGCCGGGTTCCCTTTCTGTTCTAATATCCCGCAGCTGTCTTTAATTATATTCATCTGTCTCCGTCTTCTACTGCATCCCAGAATATTACACAGCACAAAAAATGTAAAAATATATATTCAAAATATTTAATATGCTTTAGTCCACAGCCGACCGCAACTCGCTGTGACGAAATTCCCGAGCCCGTGTGCTCCAATGAGATGTGCTCTCTTCAGCGCTCACCATGACAACGAGACTCACAGCAGTGACGTCGCATTGTAAACATTTGCATCTGCATTCCTATAAAGCTCGTCGGTTCTCTCTCAGTCTTGTCAGTTCGTTCGGTGTTGCTGATTGTACTTGGTCAAGGTAAGTGAGCTCGTGCAGTCCCTGGGGCCAGGCGGCTTGTGAATCCTAGGGATCCCGCTGCTAGGGTTATGGTGGGTGGGAGCAGCTAGGCCCACTCAAAGTCTATTTTAAACTAACGTTATAGTTTTAAACTTTAGTTTACTATAGTTTAAAATAGAAACCATGGTAACTGTAATGATTTAACCGTATGTCTGGCTGTTGTAATGTTTTGCTTTGTTTTTCAGCAGAGTTGTTGAGCAAAGAAGGACTATTAAAGACAACCGCGGGTTATATTCATGAGGGTTATATTCATGATATTCATAATGTTTCCGTGCTGTTTTCTTAAAGTTTATCTTGTTTAGATAAGTTTGCAGGTCAAACAAAATAAACTATACTCTTTCTAAACACCTGTCTCGTGCTTTATTTGTCCTCAACAGCAATACACTGTCATATAAGTCTGTTGAATGCATTTGTATGCAACATGGTTTGACAATAAAGTAGTCTAACAAATAAATAGTTGTTATAAATGTACTTCATTAGTCAACATTTGGTGTAGGTAATAAAAAGTTAATCAAAGATGTCCCAAGACCTAATGGTAATGTTATGGTTGTTACATAACTATTTATTATTATTCTGTATGTTTAAAAGCAGCAGAATATACTATATATTTATGTCATGAACTATTCAAACATTTGCTTAATAAAAATGTCCTAAGACAAGAATGGGTTTTGTTTTGGTTTTATGTCAAACTACTGTAGGTTTTAGGTTGACATAGTTATTTTAATGACCCAAATCAAGTAAATTGTCTCCTACTCAAGTTCTTTTAGCATGTAAAAGTCAAATTTAAGTATACATTTTCAAACAACACAATTTGTCTTGTGATAATGACCAGTAGGTGGTGAGGAAAAGATAAAGTAAAGTGGTGAGGAAAAGTAAAAGTAAAGGAAAAGTAAAGGTCAAGTTATATATATAAAAGAAGTTGAACTAGTTGTCAAAATATTTAGTCATAACTCATTTTTCTATACATTTCCATTAGACTTTTTTTTTTCTAAATCTATAATTGGTAAATTGCTCCCAGGTCAATCTTGACTTTGTCTAGTAAAGGTGAGGTGTATCTGAGGGGATATTGTCCTATGTTCACATTTCTACTTTTGTTTTGTTTTGTTCTTTGTCCTATGTAGTGCTGTCTTTTCCTTGCTGTATCACAATGACATGATCTGGCAACAAATTACAGTACAAACAGCAAATAAATAAATAAATAAATTAGCCACAGTTTACATCAGAACATCCCTCCAGAGTACACTGTTATACTGACAACATGACTAGACCCACACAGAATCTACGTGCGCAGAATTCCACTGACTTTTAGCCCATCATTGATTCTGTTTATTTACTTGTGTAAATGTTTGTAAATCTATATTTATTTAGTTTTTATTATTTTTATATTATTTACAATAATAATATTGACTAATACGAAAATATTCATATGAATTATTCACAATAAAGTTTGTACAGTAATATTTTCTGTCTTTTAGTAGATATATTATATGAGAGACTTGCTTTCTTTACCAAATAAAGATGATCTAATTGGATTTGCATTGTAAACACGAAATACAAGTTTAAAAGGTATTAGCTTTTAATTAACATAATAAGGTTTTAGTTATGAAACTCCCAAAATAATTCTGCATAAATCCACAGATTTTTAACACAATTCTGTGCAGAAACAGCAAAAAATGTCCACAGATTCAGTCCTTCATTAAACATGACGGACTGTCTTATCCGTACACAATGACACATTGAGAAATGAACTAAAGATTTTAAGCAAGAGACTGGCTTTTGCAGGTAATCCATGCTGTTTTGCTATTTGTATGTGCTGTTTTGACAAATGCACTTATTGTTTTGTAAATTTCAAATCTGAGAAATGTATCAAAGCGACTGAAGAAAAAAAAAAATTATTTAATTTGATTAACATTCAATTTAATATTAACCTCACCTCAATGAGCCAGGTGGACACCATGTTTTCAGCACAAGTCTACTGGTTATTTTTGGAGATCATCCTCAATGTTTAGTTGTGACCTGTATTTATTTTCAATGTATTCGATTAGCATAAAGGAGTCAGAAAGTTTAACCTGGTGCATTAAAATCAGTCTGTGTTGTAATCTAACGTACTAATCTAATACACCATAATTTGAAAAAAAAAATTAAAGGCTGAGGTCTTTTTATTTGCATGTTGTTGCTTTTTATGCAACTATTAACTACTATTTTTTATTTACTGTGGGTTATAGATAAAATATTAAGTAATTAATACTTAATTAAAGATTTAAATACTGCATTTTAGTGAATTTTTTTTTGCTGGATTAACTAGTCAAATGTCATCATAACCACACTTGTGTACTAAATGTACTTGAAATAATTCCTAAAAATTGAATAAAAAAATTTAAACAAGACTAATTTTTAAAACACAAATTTATGACATCATATATTCATTTTCTTGTCGGCTTAGTCCCTTTATTATTCCAGGGTCGCCACAGCGGAATGAACCGCCAACTTATCCAACAAGTTTTTACGCAGCGGATGCCCTTCCAGCCACAACCCATCTCTGGGAAACATCCACACAAATATTCACACACACACACACACACATACACTACGAACAATTTTAGCCTACCCAATTCACCTGTACCGCATGTTTTTGGACTGTGGGGGAAACCGGAGCAC